CAGCATTGTAAACTTTTTATGGCAGATGAGCCTTCTTCAAAATCATTTTCATTTTCAAGTAACATTGCTGCAGTGTCCTGATACATGTTTACCATAATTAAGATTTAATTAGGGAAATTGCATGTCTTTAAAAATATTTTATTCTGTCCATATTAAATTGAAATCGAATCTCTTTAAACTTGTGTACATCATTGCTTGATTTTCAAAGTTCTCTGTGATGTAATTGTTCCAGATTAAAGGAGACTGAATAGGCTTGACAAATAAATGCAATATGTGACCCTGGATTGGATCCAGGGGTAAAAATGCAATAAAAGACATTATTAGGAGAGTATGGAATATTTAAATATGGATTGTATATTAGACAATTGTATTAGTTCCTGAACTACAAGATCCTAAATTCAATTATTGTATTGCAATATAAGACAATGTCTATTCATAAGGCACACACAAGCTGAAATATTTAGGTGTAAAAGGGCATGCTATCTGCAATTTATGGTCCTAGATTAGGAAAAACAAAAATTCAGATCAGTTTGTGAAAAAGAAACCTCAGTGGGGGAGAGAGTAAAAGAGATATGGGGGAAGGGAGGGAGAAAGAGAGGAAGTAAAAGTGGCAAAATGTTTAGTAAATCTGGGTGATGTTATTTGTAATACTCTTAATGTAATGCCACATTATATTATCTAATAAAAAGTTATTCTCAGTGCTCAAGTTTTCATTTTTCTGTATCCATCCTTACATCCACACATAAGATAAACAGATATCCTTCTCTGCACAGTCATGTGGATTCTTTCACATGGGAGGGGTCAGCAATATTGTTATGTTTTTATTTGAGAAATAGCTTATAGCCTTCAAGGGCAGTGTCATAAACACTTTAAAAAATATTTTTTAAAACATTCGCCTGTATATACAAACAGGTGGAAATAATTCGAAAGAGCATCTGAAGCTCTTCCATAGATCAAAGTGGTTCTGAACAATCGATATCAGAAGATCAACTTTTTAAAAAAACACTATATCATGCTAAGTACTAAAATTGTTCATTTAGAGTAGTATACTACACTACTTACTAACTATAGTTAGCTCAGAATTACAGTGTGTTTCTCTTTAGTAGATCATAATTTTTAGATCAGAGTCGTCATAAATGCCAAAATTCACTAAGTCACCTTGATTTCACTGTTTAGTAGGGCAGATTAAAATCATAAATTTATTTTAGACATTGCAATTTCAGCATGACACCCTTATCTAATATCAGATTGTGGCATCTCAGAATCTCATGCAAGGCATAATAATCTGTTTTTAAATGTAAATTCAAAAAAAATGGATTTCAGCAGAGGATGAATTTGAAACTTCAAGCAGGCCATGCCTGGGAGGACATGTGCATGTTTACTGTTGAATTAGGACACACATGTATTTCTTTTAGCAAATTATCGACAAAGAAGCATAATACCATATAGCTTGTTTCTGACATAAATCACGGTCCAATGAAAGTATTGTTTACAGGAGAAGACAGTATGACCAAATGTTCCTTTCCTCTCTGGTTTACTATTCACTTGTCTTGGAATGCTAGGTAAGTAAAGTAAAACAAGTCATGTCTTAATGGATATTTTATAAGTGAAAGTGGATTTCACAGGAGTCAAAATTGCTAGATATATTAAAGTTTTCAGCTAAATATAACCATCTACAAGCGACATTTTTGGACATCAGTCAGATAATTAAAACACCTAGCTGGTATTCAGTAGATGAATAATGTTCTTAACTCTAAGGATGTGGAGGTGCTTTAAGGTGCTTTAGGTAGCGAAGTAGATTAGTTTGTGGTAAGAAAACCCTCAGTCGTCCAGTTTAGAATCCAACATTTGAACTTTGTGGGTCATACATAAGAATGTACTTGACACTTAACTTCGGGAAACCTATCTCCTCAGATTCCTCAACTCAAAGAAACTTAGTCTTAACAGAAACATTCAGAAAACATGAGTCCAGCTCTCTGTTTTCTACAAATGTGAATTCACCTACTAACCTAGTCACTTGATAAGTTAGTGGCAGAAATACAGCAAGTCAGGTCTTTTAGCTCCCAGGTCTATCCCTGATGTGCTCTGTTGTCTCAGTCTTTTATTTTATGTGAACACATAAAAAAGTATGACTCTTAAAAATAATTGCTTTATGGAATGTCAGTCTTTAATAAAAACCTTTAAATAAAAATATAAATCTTTGAAAGAGTGGATTCTCCCAGAGCATATATTAACATATATAACAATTATTGAATGGGAAGAGAATAATCAAAGACAATTAACATTTCACAATACATTTCTTTTATTTACCTTAAATGTACACCAAATATTTTAAACCCTCAGTCACCCAGTTTAGAATCCAACATTTGAAAACTTTGTGGGTCATACATAAGAATGTACTTGACACTTAACTTCGGGAAACCTATCTCCTCAGATTCCTCAACTCAAAGAAACTTAGTCTTAACAGAAACATTCAGAAAACATGAGTCCAGCTCTCTGTTACTTGCTTGGTATTAAGAAAATGACTTAGATAATGGAGAGTTTCTATTTTATTTTTATACCAAAGACTTCAATGACTTCAACCCTTTTAATTGCAATAGAATAAGGAGTTCTAATTTCCTTTTGTGGCATGTCATTTGTTTAACATAGTTTCAGCACATTTCAATAAGAGATAAGGCAGTCTAGTTAAATGACACAAGCAGAAGTGACACGGTGACAGTGGGCATCAGTGTAAATTTTCAACACCATGAAAGTGTTCCTTTCCTAGCAGTAAACATGATAAAATATGTCACAGGAAATCTAAGCCTAGTCATGGCCCCAATTATTTGAATTTCAATTAATATGATAGTCTGCTTGTACATATTCTGAAGTTAATTTTATTGATGACCTTTGTTAAATAAATTGAGGATTCGAGTTTCAACTCTCATATAATAAGGAAATGTGGGGGACAGAAAAAGTCTCTTATTCGCTTATATCAAAATCAAGTACGCAAAGGTTCTCATAATAATTTGGCCACAAAAAATTATATGGGATCCAATCACTATGAAGCACAGTTGTCCCCTATCAAGACCTTTTAATTCCTTGCTACTTTAAGTGTGGTCTGTGAATCAACAGCATCAAAGTATGTTAGAAATGCAGAAACCCAGGCCCCGCTTTAGACCTACTGAACCATAATCTACATTTTAAAAAGATCTCTGAGTGATTCATATGCACATTAAGGTTTGAGAAGCATTGCTTTAAATTAAATTCGGAGAAGGCTTGGAAGAGAAGGAGTCAGTGAAAACAACTGTATTTACATCTGTTTCTTACCTAACTAGACATTTCACAACAGTAGGTATATGTACAATACAATATTATATATTATTTGTCAGACACTTTGTGAAGACTTTTATATTCATTACCATGTTTAAATTCCACAACAAAGGTATGGGGTGGAAACTCACTAACATTTAAGCCTGAGAAAAATGAGATTTATAGAAGTAGGTAAATAGTCAAGTTCACACAAATAGTAACTGATAGGAGGCAGCCTGATTCGAGAACCCCTGCACACTTAATCATTATGTTTTGTGGTTTAGCATATGACTATATGCAGATTCCAACTTATATCAAAATATCCCATTTTTAAATGTAGAACATATAAATTATACAAAGGCGGCAATGAAAAAAAACAGTTCTGCCCTAGATAAAAACCTTTTATCATGCGTGTCTTAAACAGCTTAGTATTTCAAAATCCTCCCTATCTGCCAATTTGTAGTTTTTAAGATGGTAAAATTTGGATGGATGCAAGTTCTGGCTAATTACGCAAACCAAATGATACTTGATCCTCTACTCAAAACTTTAGAATGAATTATTAAGAATGAATTCTAAACTATTTAAAAGTATTCTGATTATCATATGCATTAGAAAATTCCTATTTGTGTCTGTCTAGAAAGATACATGTCTATGTATCAGGCTGATACAAATACATGTTTCTAAATTTTTTCTTTCTTTCATGACAGCTATTTTTTTAATCAACTAATATATATACAAGAGGCTGTTCTATTTCACAGTGGTGTTGATGAAGGCCTTAAACTAGGAAGTACTACAATGATTTCCTTATAGTATATTCAAGTCCGTAAGTAAGATTATTCAAATAGCTGACAAGGTTTGAGTGCTTGTTTACATGTAAGGTGAAGTCACATGAGGATTTTTTTCTTGTTAATATCATTTCATCTTAACCATGAAATAGGAACTAACTTTATTCAGATAAGGAAACACAAAACTGTTAAATGTTGGATCTGGGATTTAAATACAGGTAGACTGGTTCTGGCTCTCACAGTTCATAGAGCACGAAGCTTTTAGGAAAAGCTTCCTTTTTCACCCATATTTAACATATTTCAGGGTTCCTCCTTCCTCAGTAGAGAATATATAAATGATTTACGCTTTGAATTAATCTAAAGATGTATATGAAGATATATTTTTAGTCACACTGACTTAATGGTCTTATAAATGAGATGCATGCCTTAGGTCATGTGATCAATATACATGAATTATGTCTTTAGCGTCTAGTTTTTCATTTTAAAAAGGACTCACAGATAAAAGTATACTGTTTTCTTGCACCATCTAGTGGATTTATATAACAACGGCGGCAGTAATATACATGATTGCACGTCAACTATGTAAGTCAAATATTCAAACGTGACCGGAGAACTGTTCTAATACTATATTTCATCATAACACAACGTAATTATTACTTTTGTCTTTTTCACGAGGGAGTCAGTTAAGGACGGGTGCTGAATTCCTCGGCGAACGCTTAAGTCTACAAATAAAATGACATCCATGAGCATCCTTGCATTCTGTTTACAATTAGACCTAGTGGAAGACAGCCTTATTTTACACCACCGCTCTTGCCACCCGTTTTTCCTGCACCCGAGTTGTCTCTGCGGCTGCGCTGAAAGCGGCGCCCCAAGTCTGAGCAGCCGCAGCGCGCAGGCGCGCTGAGGAACGGAAGCGGAGGGGTGGGGCCGAGCCCGGAGCGACGAGCGGAAGCGGCCGCGGCTGTTGGGTGAGGCGCGGAGAACGTTTTTCTCTGAGTCCGGGCCCGGCCGAACTCAAAATCCCCGACCCCGGGGACGCCGAAAGAACCTAAGAGACTTGGGCTTCCGGAGCGGTCACCGCCGGCTGCCGCTGCTCTGCCTCTGCGCCGCCGTTGCCGGAGGACGCGGCCCTGACAGGCCTCCAGGCCGAGGTGCGGCCCGCGGAGCCCGACGTGCTGCTGTGAGTACTCCGAGAGCCCTCGCCACAGTCATTTACGAATTAAAATGGAGGAGATTTCGCTGGCTAACCTGGATACTAACAAGCTAGAGGCCATCGCTCAGGAGATATACGTAGACCTGATAGAGGATTCTTGTTTGGGCTTCTGCTTTGAGGTGCACCGGGCAGTCAAGTGCGGCTACTTCTACCTGGAGTTCGCAGAGACTGGGAGCGTGAAGGATTTTGGCATCCAGCCGGTGGAAGATAAAGGAGCGTGCCGTCTCCCCCTTTGCTCCCGCCCTGGAGAGTCTGGGAACGGGCCTGATCAACAGCTGCAACGCTCACCTCCGGAATTCCAGTAGCTGGTAACGTGACAGAATCTTGAGGGCAACCAGGACAGTAACATAGACCGGTCCTGTGGTTTGGAGCAGTTGGGTAGCTAAGTAGAAAAAAAAAAAAACAAAAGACCTAAGTCCCAGTTCCCATCGAAGATCCTGGCCTTAAAAATCCCAAAGTGGAGAATTTAGGAATTCGGATCCTTTTATTAGGCTATTACCCGGGATCAGCTTTGAAACCCTGGGTGGAAGGAGCTGTGCATCCTGGTACCAAGCAGTGTACGTTGATCGCTCAACACACCAGGAAGTTCACAAGATCCCTGTACTGTTCCCCAGTGCACAGGTGAGCAGCTGTGTGCCCAGCACATAAATTGCTTTGGTTCATCAACCTTTCCATCTGCCTGATGTCAGGGGCTTCCTGGATAACTGACAGTTTGGACATAACTGATGGTCAGGCCTTAATCACTGGGCCTCAGTGGGTCTGTACTTCTCATCTCTCAGCCTCTAATTTGTGCTTCTCCAAGACAAATGTCAAGTCTGGTATGAAATCTGGACATTAATTCCAATTTGGGAAAACCAAGAAGGAATTCCCAGCTAAATATGACTGGGGAAGCTCTATGGTCTTGGCTCCAACAGGAAGAAAAGGTTAAAGCCACCAGTTTCCCAGAGGCCCAAGCATTTACAATGACTTCAACGGAGCTGGGGACAAGGGATAGCCTTTTACTGAGCAGAGCCCTCTTTCTTGTGGCCCTCTCTATGGCATAGGCTTGACAGATGGACAGCTTGGTTGTGGAGACAGGCTTAGGATTTAGTTATAATCCCTTGGGGAGATGGTAGGGACCTCTGCAACTATGCACGATCTCTCAAACTGCAAGAACCTTATATGGGTAGATTATGCTGTGGACAGCACATTGGCGGGGCAGTCATTTTCCTGACTTGGTCATTTTTCTGGGGCACTACCTGCCTGTCACACCAGGGGCAGGACAAATATATATAACAATTATTGAATGGGAAGAGAATAATCAAAGACAATTAACATTTCACAATACATTTCTTTTATTTACCTTAAATGTACACCAAATATTTTAAACCCTCAGTCACCCAGTTTAGAATCCAACATTTGAAAACTTTGTGGGTCATACATAAGAATGTACTTGACACTTAACTTCGGGAAACCTATCTCCTCAGATTCCTCAACTCAAAGAAACTTAGTCTTAACAGAAACATTCAGAAAACATGAGTCCAGCTCTCTGTTACTTGCTTGGTATTAAGAAAATGACTTAGATAATGGAGAGTTTCTATTTTATTTTTATACCAAAGACTTCAATGACTTCAACCCTTTTAATTGCAATAGAATAAGGAGTTCTAATTTCCTTTTGTGGCATGTCATTTGTTTAACATAGTTTCAGCACATTTCAATAAGAGATAAGGCAGTCTAGTTAAATGACACAAGCAGAAGTGGCACGGTGACAGTGGGCATCAGTGTAAATTTTCAACACCATGAAAGTGTTCCTTTCCTAGCAGTAAACATGATAAAATATGTCACAGGAAATCTAAGCCTAGTCATGGCCCCAATTATTTGAATTTCAATTAATATGATAGTCTGCTTGTACATATTCTGAAGTTAATTTTATTGATGACCTTTGTTAAATAAATTGAGGATTCGAGTTTCAACTCTCATATAATAAGGAAATGTGGGGGACAGAAAAAGTCTCTTATTCGCTTATATCAAAATCAAGTACGCAAAGGTTCTCATAATAATTTGGCCACAAAAAATTATATGGGATCCAATCACTATGAAGCACAGTTGTCCCCTATCAAGACCTTTTAATTCCTTGCTACTTTAAGTGTGGTCTGTGAATCAACAGCATCAAAGTATGTTAGAAATGCAGAAACCCAGGCCCCGCTTTAGACCTACTGAACCATAATCTACATTTTAAAAAGATCTCTGAGTGATTCATATGCACATTAAGGTTTGAGAAGCATTGCTTTAAATTAAATTCGGAGAAGGCTTGGAAGAGAAGGAGTCAGTGAAAACAACTGTATTTACATCTGTTTCTTACCTAACTAGACATTTCACAACAGTAGGTATATGTACAATACAATATTATATATTATTTGTCAGACACTTTGTGAAGACTTTTATATTCATTACCATGTTTAAATTCCACAACAAAGGTATGGGGTGGAAACTCACTAACATTTAAGCCTGAGAAAAATGAGATTTATAGAAGTAGGTAAATAGTCAAGTTCACACAAATAGTAACTGATAGGAGGCAGCCTGATTCGAGAACCCCTGCACACTTAATCATTATGTTTTGTGGTTTAGCATATGACTATATGCAGATTCCAACTTATATCAAAATATCCCATTTTTAAATGTAGAACATATAAATTATACAAAGGCGGCAATGAAAAAAAACAGTTCTGCCCTAGATAAAAACCTTTTATCATGCGTGTCTTAAACAGCTTAGTATTTCAAAATCCTCCCTATCTGCCAATTTGTAGTTTTTAAGATGGTAAAATTTGGATGGATGCAAGTTCTGGCTAATTACACAAACCAAATGATACTTGATCCTCTACTCAAAACTTTAGAATGAATTATTAAGAATGAATTCTAAACTATTTAAAAGTATTCTGATTATCATATGCATTAGAAAATTCCTATTTGTGTCTGTCTAGAAAGATACATGTCTATGTATCAGGCTGATACAAATACATGTTTCTAAATTTTTTCTTTCTTTCATGACAGCTATTTTTTTAATCAGCTAATATATATACAAGAGGCTGTTCTATTTCACAGTGGTGTTGATGAAGGCCTTAAACTAGGAAGTACTACAATGATTTCCTTATAGTATATTCAAGTCCGTAAGTAAGATTATTCAAATAGCTGACAAGGTTTGAGTGCTTGTTTACATGTAAGGTGAAGTCACATGAGGATTTTTTTCTTGTTAATATCATTTCATCTTAACCATGAAATAGGAACTAACTTTATTCAGATAAGGAAACACAAAACTGTTAAATGTTGGATCTGGGATTTAAATACAGGTAGACTGGTTCTGGCTCTCACAGTTCATAGAGCACGAAGCTTTTAGGAAAAGCTTCCTTTTTCACCCATATTTAACATATTTCAGGGTTCCTCCTTCCTCAGTAGAGAATATATAAATGATTTACGCTTTGAATTAATCTAAAGATGTATATGAAGATATATTTTTAGTCACACTGACTTAATGGTCTTATAAATGAGATGCATGCCTTAGGTCATGTGATCAATATACATGAATTATGTCTTTAGCGTCTAGTTTTTCATTTTAAAAAGGACTCACAGATAAAAGTATACTGTTTTCTTGCACCATCTAGTGGATTTATATAACAACGGCGGCAGTAATATACATGATTGCACGTCAACTATGTAAGTCAAATATTCAAACGTGACCGGAGAACTGTTCTAATACTATATTTCATCATAACACAACGTAATTATTACTTTTGTCTTTTTCACGAGGGAGTCAGTTAAGGACGGGTGCTGAATTCCTCGGCGAACGCTTAAGTCTACAAATAAAATGACATCCATGAGCATCCTTGCATTCTGTTTACAATTAGACCTAGTGGAAGACAGCCTTATTTTACACCACCGCTCTTGCCACCCGTTTTTCCTGCACCCGAGTTGTCTCTGCGGCTGCGCCGAAAGCGGCGCCCCAAGTCTGAGCAGCCGCAGCGCGCAGGCGCGCTGAGGAACGGAAGCGGGGGGGTGGGGCCGAGCCCGGAGCGACGAGCGGAAGCGGCCGCGGCTGTTGGGTGAGGCGCGGAGAACGTTTTTCTCTGAGTCCGGGCCCGGCCGAACTCAAAATCCCCGACCCCGGGGACGCCGAAAGAACCTAAGAGACTTGGGCTTCCGGAGCGGTCACCGCCGGCTGCCGCTGCTCTGCCTCTGCGCCGCCGTTGCCGGAGGACGCGGCCCTGACAGGCCTCCAGGCCGAGGTGCGGCCCGCGGAGCCCGACGTGCTGCTGTGAGTACTCCGAGAGCCCTCGCCACAGTCATTTACGAATTAAAATGGAGGAGATTTCGCTGGCTAACCTGGATACTAACAAGCTAGAGGCCATCGCTCAGGAGATATACGTAGACCTGATAGAGGATTCTTGTTTGGGCTTCTGCTTTGAGGTGCACCGGGCAGTCAAGTGCGGCTACTTCTACCTGGAGTTCGCAGAGACTGGGAGCGTGAAGGATTTTGGCATCCAGCCGGTGGAAGATAAAGGAGCGTGCCGTCTCCCCCTTTGCTCCCGCCCTGGAGAGTCTGGGAACGGGCCTGATCAACAGCTGCAACGCTCACCTCCGGAATTCCAGTAGCTGGTAACGTGACAGAATCTTGAGGGCAACCAGGACAGTAACATAGACCGGTCCTGTGGTTTGGAGCAGTTGGGTAGCTAAGTAGAAAAAAAAAAAACAAAAGACCTAAGTCCCAGTACCCATCGAAGATCCTGGCCTTAAAAATCCCAAAGTGGAGAATTTAGGAATTCGGATCCTTTTATTAGGCTATTACCCGGGATCAGCTTTGAAACCCTGGGTGGAAGGAGCTGTGCATCCTGGTACCAAGCAGTGTACGTTGATCGCTCAACACACCAGGAAGTTCACAAGATCCCTGTACTGTTCCCCAGTGCACAGGTGAGCAGCTGTGTGCCCAGCACATAAATTGCTTTGGTTCATCAACCTTTCCATCTGCCTGATGTCAGGGGCTTCCTGGATAACTGACAGTTTGGACATAACTGATGGTCAGGCCTTAATCACTGGGCCTCAGTGGGTCTGTACTTCTCATCTCTCAGCCTCTAATTTGTGCTTCTCCAAGACAAATGTCAAGTCTGGTATGAAATCTGGACATTAATTCCAATTTGGGAAAACCAAGAAGGAATTCCCAGCTAAATATGACTGGGGAAGCTCTATGGTCTTGGCTCCAACAGGAAGAAAAGGTTAAAGCCACCAGTTTCCCAGAGGCCCAAGCATTTACAATGACTTCAACGGAGCTGGGGACAAGGGATAGCCTTTTACTGAGCAGAGCCCTCTTTCTTGTGGCCCTCTCTATGGCATAGGCTTGACAGATGGACAGCTTGGTTGTGGAGACAGGCTTAGGATTTAGTTATAATCCCTTGGGGAGATGGTAGGGACCTCTGCAACTATGCACGATCTCTCAAACTGCAAGAACCTTATATGGGTAGATTATGCTGTGGACAGCACATTGGCGGGGCAGTCATTTTCCTGACTTGGTCATTTTTCTGGGGCACTACCTGCCTGTCACACCAGGGGCAGGACAAAGTTACAAAAGAGCATCGAGGCTGTGCAGGAAGCTGTGGTTTCAAAGCTGAGCCCAGACAGGAACTGTCCCATCTGTCCTCCATAATGTTAAAGGGTCAGTGCTAGGAGCAGGACTGGGTTGTCTCTCATCTGTGCAGTATCCTGTTGAGTGCCCCTTTTCCTTGGGATAGACAGTCACAGAGCTGTTAACGGTGAACATCTAGACTGTCACCACTTTCTCTGCACCTCACAAGAGGCAGCCCTTTCCACTTGGTTCCCTTTGGACCTTCTCTACAAGAGCTGACCTTATGTTGTTGGAAGTAAGAGAAGGACCCCCAGAAAGCCCTTGGGTTCAGGGAGTGGGAGAGGTGAGAATGGGAAATGTGAGCCACATAACGAAACTACCCTCGCATTTTGCTCCTTGATCGAGGGTTTATGAAGTCTAGAGGGGTAGAAGCCCCAAGATGAGCAGGAACGGTGCTGCTTTATTTGAAATGTTTTCTTACCTCATTATGTGTCCCAGTAAGGGACCCAGCCCCATCTGTCTGGCTGGGCCCCGTTTTCCTCCTGTCCCCTGCTCCACTGCCTATCTGGTGCAGCTCGTGACCCCAGGTGCTGCCTGCCACCCTGCTTTCACACTGACCAGGTTCAGTTCATCTCTTCTGCACCTCACAAGAGGCAGCCCTTTCCTGCTTCTGAAA